TGCACATCAAAAGCATCAAAAAACTAAAAGCGAACGGATTTTTGGCGTTCCGCAACAATTTCGAAAATTGGCGCTTAAAGAATATCATTCAGTGACACTTGGGGACGAACCGCAGGGAAAAGTGCGGCCTTAGTGACGAATTGTTTTCCGTCAAATGTATGCATGCCGAAGACCATATGATTTAGAGACTGCCGGCAAGTAATTGCACTGAATTTTGCTTCGCGACTGCGACTCCTGCTGCCTGCTGCTCTATAGCAGAAGATATGTGTGCTGCTATTTATGATACGGGGCTACATAGTCGATATGTTAACAGCGGTTTTTTTCTTTTCTCTTGCCAGCTGATTATAATTTTTTCGATTCTGAGGGTCACTCTTTGCGAACGGGTTCAACAGTTTGTTATTCTGTGGCTGCTGACTAAGCATTGGAAGACTGTATAACGTGACAAAATCATTGGTTTCATTGTCTTATAAGGTTACTTTAATCCTACTCTACCGTCTTATGTTAATTTTCAGTTCCAGTTTCAACTCGTATTTGTTATAAAAAGACTGTTGAAGCTCTTGTTTCATTAAGGACATGTTTGATGAGTTTAAAAACATGCATATTTTAACACGTACGTAGTGCGGAGAATAGTCAAAAAATTTTCCATATTTATGCTGACGCGTTTTCTTGAATAACCTATATATGGGAAACGGAAGATGCAGTATTTGCTCATTTTGTTACCATCAGACCTTGAACATTAATTTCATCGTCCTAAGCAGAACTGAAGAAAGGTTTCCACAACTTTTAAATCTATGCATAATCCTTCAAAGTAAGAGATTGAGGGTCAAGAGAGAGGTTTCCATATCCTTGTGTTTCCGTGAAATGTTTTTACTATAAGTGCTCATTTTACTCAATGGAATAAATGCTGAAAATACCGTGCCTTTTTGACTCACTAATGCTTTATTATTTGGTAATAATATTAGTTAGACTCAGCGCAAACCAGTACAGTTTAAAGTTCTTTGCATTTTTTTTTTTTTTTTTCCAGAGATCAGTCGGGGAGCGACAGAAAGCGTTTTTGGTTTTGGGGAGGCTCAATCATCTTAAGGGCACTATTAATGGCGGAGGCGTGGTCAGACATTTTTTTTGTTGAGAAGCAGTACATGTTTTTTTCTTTCAGTTTCTTCTGTTTTCCTCTCTTAGCTGCTCGCAATGGTATTGAACATTCAATGCGACAAGAGTTTTCCATGTCTCATACCATTTTTGGTCTATTTTTTTCTATTGGTTTAGATTTGCATGCCAAAAATCTATGGATTATTTTTACAAGATTCGTTCTACAGTAACTTCAGTCGCAGCGCAAGTGAGCAACGCTCTTCCAGGTAATCCGGTTTTCCGAGAGTATGAAATTTTAGCCCAGACAGCCAGTGCCGGGCCAGGTTTGAACTGGAAAATATATAACGGAAAGAAACGGTCTACACAGCAAGTTTGTTTTGGTCCTGGTCTTTGTTAAAGCTTTTTGGCTTGAAGTTCATTAAATAATTTTGTTTTTAAAGGCTGTATCTTTATGGATTTTTGAGAAGAAGGAGCTTGATAGTTGGCAGAAGCGCGATCGCGAAATTTTTCTGGAAGTTTTAAAAAAAGGTGTGCTGCAGTTAACAAAGCTCAGACATCCTAGAATATTGGTAGTGGAACATCCCTTAGAAGAATCAAGGTCAGAAGTTTATAACACAGTTTTAGATTTATTTCTTTTTATCCCGATTAGTCGACTTTAAATTACATCACTGCATGTTGTACATTAACATAGGGCATGCAGTAAAGACTAGAAGATGTTGCTTTTTATTTTTCATGGCGATTTTCTGTTACAGTGACATGGTGGTTAATCGTTTTAGGGATTCGTTCGCTTTTTGCACTGAGCCAGTCTTCGCTAGTCTTGCTAATTGCTTAGGTCGTCATGATAATCTCGGTTCTCCTCTTCCTTTCCATCTCTCCGACTTCGAATTTTTAGAAGTGGAAATTAAACATGGACTTCTTCAAGTAAAACTTCATAATTAAATGTACTTCAAACCGATTTTTTATGCGTTTTTGTATTATTTTAAATCATAAAGTTTTTAGCCGCACAGCGTTTCAAGTATGTTCTTTTAAGTATTTGCATCGATGACATTTGGTAAACTAATTTATTTTGAGGTATAGTCGTAAAATTATAAACTTGTTTTGTTTTGTTTATAAGGAACATCAATTTCGCTGGGATTTTTTGTAGCTTACTGAAGCTCTCTCATTCCTTCATGTTGACGCACACATGTTGCATCGCAATATCTGTCCAGAAAGCATAGTAATCAATTCAAAAGGTGCTTGGAAGTTATCTGGTTTTGAGTTTGCTGTTCAAGGTATCCCCGGCCCTAACGGTCAGGTTAGTTGTAAAATTTTTTAAGGATTGATTTAGTACAGAATAACAAATTGTACAATTCTTTATCGTATACCATTTTTGTTTTAGCATTCTTTCGAAATGTTTGAATGGGATCAAAGGACAATGTCACTGATACAGCCTTGTCTTGACTATCTCGCTCCAGAGTATGTGGTTGGTGGCCGATGTGACTGTTATGCTGATATATTTTCGTTGGGATGCCTTTCTGTTGCCATTTTTAACAAATGTAGACCTCTTTTTGAAAATCATAATACTCTGGAAACGTTTAAGAAAAACGCCGAAAAGGTCACTGCTGTTTTAGATTTTTTTTTCGGATGTTTTTATTTGATATTTTCTATTGTGTTGTGCTGTTATCAACCTAAAGTATTCGTGATTTATAAGACGTTTTTTCAAAAGGACCGCTGTGGAAGTGTAGATACTTGAACATCGGATTTCTAAGTATAATCAGTATAATTTAAATGTTGCTGGATTCATGTTTTTTATTCTATAAGAAGATACCAAACTCGAAAATTTTTGGTACTATCCTTTCACTTTCAGCTAAAAACACTTCCTGCTTCTGTTTTGGTCAGTGCACCTCCAGTTTTTCGGGATGATTTAAAAATGTGTCTCAACTTTACTCCGGATCTTCGACCAGACGCCACACAGTTCTCCAAGGTTTATTACACAGTAGTATCAATTGAATTTTAGGTTCAAATATATTTAAGGACCTTATATGGTGTCTTTAACTTTGTTTTTAGATTGCCTTTTTTGACGATCCCCTTACTAAAGCATTAAATTATTTTGATTCCCTATGTCAAATGGACAATAGCCAAAAAATGCAGTTCTTTAAGAGTCTTCCGCAAATACTGACTAGATTCCCCAAGGTTAGTTGTATTTTATGGGAAATTTAGTTTTTTGGTCAGTTGCATAAGTCGGGAATTCTTTTCATACAAAAACAGTTCTTTGCTGTGTTGTTACAGAAATTTGTCGCCTTCATTGATCATAGTTTAGCGACCGCTTCTACAAAAAATTTTACCTTACTTGTCGGCCGAGTTCACAACCCCAGAATTGATTCCATTTATACTTCCTAGCGTGTTTCATATAGCCGAGCAAGCAACCAATGCCGAATTTGAAACCATCATTTTGCCACATCTTGTACCTGTCTTTTCAATGCAGCGTCCCTACCAGGTTAGGCTAGGATTCATCCTTATGCTGTTCATAACTGCTCATACTTTCATAATCAATCGGCAATACTAGAATTCTACTCAAACGCACAATTTTTAATGTTTTTCCTGCTTGTTTTTCTTTTTGATCAATGTGGGCCTTTACCACTCAAAGTAATATTACAGTCGCAAGTAAAACTTTTTTAAGATAGTACTTTTGCTTTTGCAAAAAATGGAACTTTTACTTCAAAAAACCCCTGAGGATGACGTCCGCAAACATATATTGCCACTTGTGTGCAACGCAATATCGAGTGACACTACAAGGATTCAGGTTTGTAAAAAGGGGTTTTTTCCAGCCCATTCAACTTGGTAGTATATATTATCCTGAAGAAACATCAAACCGCTACGTAAATTTGCCTTCTGTTCAGGAATTGTGTTTATCGATTATTCCTAATATTGGGAGGCTTATGGAAAGGAATGCTATGAAAACCCAATTGTTACCTAAACTTTTACGTTTGACTACTGAAGCTGGTGTTTTAGCGGTATGTAGTTTTTTCACTTTTGTAATTTTTAGAAAGTCCTTGCTTTTTATACACTTTTTTTGAAGTTTGGATCGTCTTGTTCATTAAGGTATTTGTTGTCCAAATTTTTCATGAAATATATGAGAATGTGAAATACAGTCCAAAAATTTACGTACTGGTTGGGAGTCGTGTCGTTTATTTCACTGCAGTGAACGTTTTTTTTCAAATAATTTGAAAATACGTTGTTTGTTGTATCAAAAAGATAAGTCTCAATTTTTTTTGTGGCATTTGATTATTTAAAATTGTCTCTTAGAGCAATACAGGGATTTTCAAACGGTTCACTTTTTGTTTACGAAATTATGTCTGCGTTTTTTATGAGTCAGTGACGATGTCGTTAAACTCAGAGTGGAGTGTTTTAATAAGATATCTTGAATGAGAGAGCTTTAGAAATTGTATAACTTGCAGCCTGAGAACTGAAAAACAAAGCAACAATATCCGAATATTAGGAAGCGAGGTTAACAAGATTCAGCGTTTTTTGTTTTATTTTCTTTGTCGGCATGCGTTTTAGACATGGTTTGGGTAAAAGGAAGTCGTAATTTTCGGTAGTGCTATAGTAGTTTCGAGTCGTGCTTTGTTCAGTAAAATCCTCGATGTTTGGAGTTATCGTAGTTGAGGTTTCATATATCGTAGTGGATATTATTTGGCGGTTGTCAGGGGAGGCGGTCACTGGTGTTGTTGATAAGGTTGTTATTAATGGTAGTTTTTTACTTACGGGTATTCTCGTCCCTATTTTTATTCTGACTTTCTTTGTCTTTTTAGTCTTCTTTTTCCAGGGCTTTACTGTTGTAGTTGTAGGGGAGGAGGTCGAAGTGACTGTGGTTTTAGTTGTCTTGTATCTTTCAAGAGTCAGTTCCAATCGTGTTCTCCTTCCTTTTGTAGTAGGTGCAGTTCCGTTAATCTTTTCTTTAAAAAATTATTTTGGGACAGAAAATACATAAATCTTGGATCTTTATGAAGAGAAAATTTTTTGTCGAAATTCCTAGAGTTGTTCAAAAATAAAAGCACATTCTTTTTTCAAAACTTACTCTTAAACAACTTTAGTTCGATCGCAAACGCTTGATTCAAGTTGCTACATCTCCTGCGGTCCATTGCTGCATTAAAATTGTAAATGACACTAGCTTTCCTGTTCGGGGTTGAACAGTAACCGCATGATTTTCTGCAGACTCGAAAAGAGAAGGGCATGCTTTTGCAGCTTAACTTCTTATAATCTGAGTACTGCCAAAAACTTTGCCTGAATAATTCAAAATTTTTTTCAGAACTCTTTTTATTAGGTTAAGCAGTTGTACCTGAGTAAAAGTTTCTTGCACCACTCTTCTCCCCTGCGATCATAGCAAGTAGCGCTTAATGGATTTGTGAGGAGGTTTTCTGATATTTGACTGTAATTAAGGCTTAGAGCATTTAGCGCCGCTTTTGAAAAGCTGTAACTGGGACTGATAAATTTTTAGTTTTTTCTGGTTTACGTAGTAAATGGAAAGATCATAAAGCGATTCAACTTACCACGAGCTGCAACACTGCACAAAAGCGAAGTCGGCGTTATGGACACAGTTGTATAAGAATAACGACGGGTTAAAAAGCTGAAGCCTTTGGCAAGATATTGCGCTTAACCGGTCAATGCAGCATGGTGTTTGGTTTTCCACTGGACCTTTTTTTCCTTCTGTTCCATTTATGGCTAAAAACTCAAAAACGAATTTTTATCAATTTTGTATTACTTATTGAGTAAATGCCTTTTTCTTGTTAGATGCAACTTTTTTTCCTTTTTTTTTTTTTTTTTTTCGAAAATATCTATTTCTACTGACTGTCAGAATTGAAAAAACGAAGGAGAAACAAACCAGTGGGAAGAATGATTATTAGGATGACTAGAGTTAAGCTGATAACCATTCTCCTTTCAGTGACTAGTCTTCGCTGGCTAAGAGAAATTTGGAAGCAGCTCACATATTTCAGCCATTAAATATGTCAGGAACCGTCTAGGATAATTGTTTTAGGAAGAATTTTGTAGTAGAAGTTTTGGGCTTTTTGCTTCAAGTCTTTTTAACGGCTAAAAAAATGGTTTTTTGTTGGGAGAGTAAGAGTAAGAAGATAGGGGAATGGTCAGTAAGCTGCAGTTTTTGCACCTCGTTTGGGTTGAAAGGTCGGCGAAAACATTTATTAGTTTGCGGCATAATTTATTATCTTTATATGGGTTAATTAAGTTTTTGCGGACGTACTTCTCGTGGTACTTCATTTTTCATTTATGTGTTTCGTGATTTAATCATTTCGTTGGGCCTATTAGTTTTTTATAAAACTGCTTTCGCTGTATAGACATTAAAAATTTGCGAATTCATTGCTGAAGGTACGGGACGTGATCATTTTGATTTCTTTCGTAAATTATGCACTTATGTTTAGCACCTTGACTCTTTATTTATTTGTTTGTTTTTTTTTTCTTTATTATTTTGCCTCTTATATTTCCAGTTGGGGGGATTTACGGTTAAGACTTTCAGAAAGCTCTCAATAAAAGAATACACCTTGATTGAGCAGACAAGAGGCTATCTGAAGAAAAATGTTAGCCTTCTTTTGCTTTACAGTATAGATCAGTTCACTTTTTTTTGTTTTGATTAGTTTTTCAAAAATCAATTTTTGAGGTTCTTTTGATATAGCTTTCCGAATTTTTTCTGCTTGAAGATATTGTTTGCCTATGTATTACTTATTGAGAATTCGTCATTCATTGCATAGAAGAATTTGCAAATTTCTGTTTTCGGTGACAAATAATTTCGGGGTGGAACAAAGCGGTCTGCAGAATATATTTTGATAAGATTTATTTTTATTTCAGAATCTTTTGGAGTAATTCAGTTTTAATTTTATTGATTTTTACTTCTTTTTTGTTTCCACTTTTTACTTTTATCATGCTGACTACTTGTTTGGTGAGGATCAGAGTGAAGAATTCGTTAGTGATGGGTATGTCAAATTAGCGTCCCTATTGATCTAGTGAATCCGAAGCGAAATCTCAAGAGAGTTTTTACTTTGCTTAAACAAAGCTTTAGATTTAATTGAAGCTGACTTTTGTTTGAACTGATGAAGTAATGTAAGGACAACATTAAAACAGAAATTCGCACTAAGGATTAGTGCTGGGTAGATGCGCTCACTGAGCAGCGTTAGGGCATCTGACCTAAATACCGAAGTTCAAAGTGTTTTAATTTTTTCTAATTAAGCTGTTGGCGACTAACTGACAGTTTTAGGACTCTGTTTCCACTCGAGACGGTCATCTGGCAATCGTAGTGATTATTGGTATATTTCTTTTTTTTTATTCATTTAAATGACTTTTAGAAGTAGGTAGAACTATTTGATGGTGGTATTACCTCGTCACTTTGTAAAAAATTCTGTTAAAGACGTTCGCCCGTAGATTACGAGGTTTGTTGGCGGTGGTTGCAGAGCGCTAGTTGGGGGTATATGAAAAGGGTGGTCGCTATTTTTTCGTTACCGTATCTGCTGGGAACCTCTCATTACGAAGATGTTGACAGTGGTTATTTGTCCCAACTCCTCACTGTTTCATTTTGATTGTTTGTTACTTGCAATTTAAACAAAATGCAGTAGTGCAGTTTTTTATGTCAATGCACGTTCTAAATTTATATTGACAAGCAGTAGATTCATTGGTAAAAATGAGGTCAAAGAACGTATGAGGATTTTGGAGAGGAAATAGAGTCGTGAGAAGGTAAACTCTAAAAATTTATTTTCTTACGATTCTGGACTCTTTGACATTCACATTGGACACTTGCATATTTGTCTCTACCGAAAAGTGGATCCAATCAAATTTTTGTCGGCGTGACTGAACAATTTTTGCTGTAGGCTGTCACGCAAAAAAAAAGAAATTTTGAAAAGCTAACAACAGCTAATAAGTGATCCGCCAAAAGTTAGCTAAGGTCAGAAAAGACGAGGGGAATATATTTCTTGTGTTCTCAGGAAATAACACAGACGCTGACTGACCGGGAGGTGAAATCAAAGTTTGCGTTTGTTTGGAAGTTGTTTTACGAACAATGAAAACATTTTTAATTTAATTTATTTCTAGTTAAGAAGCAATAAAGAGAGACTCTTCAAATTTCGTAATTACATGCTACCACTGCTGATGAGTACTGCTATTATTTTTCATATATCTTTTATCTTTTTTTAAGTATCAAATTTTCTTGTTTCTTCTTTATGGCTCATTGATAGGAATAGGCGTTCTGAAACATGTGCGTTGATTGAGAGATTTAGCTCTTGTCTTCATTTATTTAATATTTTTGTTCGATACTTGAGTATTCGTTATTTTGTTTTTTTTCCCCTTTGGAAACATCAGTTGGTCTTTTCTCAAACGGAGAACTCATTATTTATCTGCATACCTAAGTCAAAGAAAGTGTTATTGCATATGTTTACAACTCGGAAATGAATATTTTTTTATTAAATACAGTTTGAAACTTGGTTGTTTGAAAAGCATTCCTAACTGTGATGGATTGAAGCGGTACGAGGACTTTTCATTCCGGTCTGAATTAGTAAAAGACTTTGGATTGGTCTGTTATAACTACTATACCGATGTTTACTGGCAGAGTTTATCGAAGTAGGGGAGTGAGGATAGGTCTGCGTCGAAGGACATATATTTTTTTTTTTGTACATTTACGTTCTTCACACGTAACTGTAATTGATCCGTTATTCGATTGATAGAAAACTTACAGTTTTTTTACAACTTATTTTTATATTTTGTTTTCCAGGTCCGGGTGCAAGCCTTAATATGCTTAGGAAATTTGTTACCCCACCTGGAACCATGGATGGTGTCCGATCAGATAATCCCTGCATTATCTAAAATCAACAACAAGGAACCAGGAATTTTAATGGCAATTTTAGGTAAGTGGAAATTTTGTGGAAGTAGACATTTTGTTGCTCGAAAGAATCCGGATTCCGAGCGGCTAAGGATCCATGTTTGTTTATTTCAATTCTTTTTCTTCATAGTTGTATTATCTTGGGATTTTAATTAAAGTCCTCAAACTGTCAAGGAATCTTCAAAATGGTGCATGAAAACGAGAAGTTTGGTATTAGTAAGGAGCAGTGCGCAAAAAGCGTTCTTCCATTTTTGATCTCTATGTGTGTAGAAAACACATTAAACCTTACTCAGTTCGAACAATTCATGTTGCTAATTCACCAACTGTTAAACAAGGTTTTTCTTAGATTCTTTTGTTTTAACTGGTAGATTTCTTCTGTCCTGACGTGTTTTTAATTCTTTTGAAAATAATTTTTTTGAGGTAGAAAAAGAGCAGAGGCAGCGATTACAGCAGTTGACGGCTAGCCAAGAGGAACAACGACAGATGCCTGACTTTGCCGAAATCATTACAAGAAATGAGGTAGTACGAGTGGTGAGACCAGTTCGATTACAACTTAAATTTGAATGTTTTTAATGCTAATCAATTAAGAAGTATGGCGAGTTTACGAGCTTTTTTATTGTTCTTGTTTTTTTAAAAACTGCACTTTCAATTGCCAGGTCAAAAGTAGTGAGGATTTATCGGTGTTGGCGGGGAGTCATTCTTTTTTGGAGACAACTTCTAATTCTGGTTCAGTAAGTGGGCTGCTCTGTATAATACTTCACTTAAATTTCAGCTTTTATGCATTGGGCCATTTTTATTTACTGGAGGTGATTTTGGTGGGTTTTTTTAGGGCAGGCTTACTCTCGAGGACAAGAAGCGTCTAGCTGCTGAACAAGAGCAAAACTTGAGGCTTAGAAACCAGTCACCGATAGTACAATCATGTGGCACGAAAAAGCTGGACCCTTTGTCTTCATCTTCTCATTCAGCTTCGAATTCCGCATTGGATTCAATGTTCGCTTTTGAACCAAATAGTGACGGATTTGGGAGTAATGGCATTTTAACTCCTTCTGGAAAATCTTTACGAGTTGCGTCAACAAAATCTGCTGTTGATATATCAGAATTCTTGCCAAGTAGTAGCGCAAGTTTATCACGTACAGCGGTAAATCTTTATGACATTTCAAGAGGACTAGTTTTTTTCTTTAGTTTTAGTCATTTATTACTGTTATTTTTTGGTTCTATCTTTTGTTATCTTTTTTTTTCTTCAGATCTTGAATACTCCTTGCACCACGTCAGCAAGTATTGTGTTTCCTGCTACATCTGCTTTTATGGAACCGCAGAGCTCCCAAAAGCTATTGAACAGTGAAGTTAGCTTCAACTCAAGGGGGAATATTGGGCTTCCACAACCACCGAAATCTGCAAATCCAATAATTCGTAATTTAAGTCAGAATGTAAAAGCATTAAATCTTCCAGCGAACTCAGCAAACTCTGCACCAAGCAAGAAACCCGATCTTTCAGCATTTGACAATTTGTTCACGTTTCCCAGTCCCATCAGCAACTTAACGAGTAATAACAGTGTTTCTGCAACTTCTAAACCAGCAGCTAACACCAAGGTTGAGTCGTTGCAAAAAGATCCATTTGCAGATTTATTAGGTTGAGAAAATATATCTCTGAAAAATAAGCATTTGTAAGATATTTTTGTTAGTCTTTTGCTGCATTTTTTCTTACAGTTTTGATTTTTCATCAGATTCTGTTATTTCCAAGCTGTTTGAAGCCTGTGAAACAGTCGTTTCTTTGCTTTTTATAATTCTGGCTATCAGTTTTGAGAATTGCTGTTCTTTGTGTATATTGCGAACCACCACAAATCTAACCCGAACAGTTTACCCAACTGCCGCAAAGCTCTGTTGTTTGTATTTTGATGCTTTTATCCTGCATTTTTTGTAACATTCCGTTATTGGAACCGTCTCTGTCTAACTTGTACAATTCAGTTGCATTTATTTTCATCTGTGTGTTCTATTCCTGAATGGGGTAATCTTTTTTATTTGATGCTCAGCTTGAGCAACGGAGCACGAAAGAAATCCCAGAAGAGTTGGTTCTGGAAAATTTAAAAAAAAAAAAATAAGTTAATTTTCTTGCGGAACTTCACTTTCAGTGATCTACTAAAAATATGTTACTGATTCAGTTTCAGCTCATTCAGTTTTAACGAGTTTTTGCATGGATTTAGACTTGTGATAATAATCATTAGGCACCGCAAAGCACCCTGAGGTCAAAATAGAATCCCTAGGATAGTGCGCTGACGGCGAAATTAAAACACGCTAAAGTGCAGAAAAAAAAAGCCGGTTTTTGCCAAATACAGTCATCTTCAGGGACTTGTAATTTTGTTCTTCCACAATGGATTTTTAACGTTTTCATTTCTTGGAAGTTTGTCTTTTGTGGATTTTGAAAAGCGGTAAGATGAATGCATTGTTGGATTCTGTAAGGAATTAAATTAAAAGCAAAAATACGGAGCTTTGTTAGAAGTTTTCGTTTCTGAGTCCTCGCGAAAAAAGTATTTTGTAGACAGTTGTATGCCGTACTAAAGTCGCAAGGTAGTATCTTTATGGTTTCGCTAGTCACGACGTGGTTATTGAGAGCAATCAGCAACAGATCTTCATCTGGTGCTAAATTGTGTAGGGATGGTTCAGGAAGTCGTGCAAAAGTACTGCTGAACGAGGATGCTAGCTGCACCACTTACCTCACTGTAATTTTTTTCAGAAAAATCTTGCTCTTCCTGCTATTTTCAGCAGCTTCGTTCTAGGGTAAAATAGTTTTTGTTTTGAAGCGATTGCTATACTCGTTTGAAAGCCGCTTGTTAAGCCTGCTAAAGAGCAAATGCAGATTGAATGACGTTATTCGCTTTCCGGGTGGGATATAGCAAACTACAAAAATCAGAAGTTGGATTTTAGGTACTAAGGAGTTTAACTGGCATTTTGAAGAGGGTGGTGAAGGGCTCCATTCTTTCAGGTAGAATACTTTGGTGAGAAGGTTTTTACACAGTCAAGAGATAGAACAGGATACTTTGTCGCGAAGGTAAGGAAATTCTATTGTTTTGCACCGTGCGCTGCTGAAAGGATTTTAGTGGGAAATTATTCAAAATTGCGGTTAGCGGTTATCATTGAGTGTTAAATATTTGAGTTAAGATAGTTTGGTGAAGGACCAAAGTGCCGTAGACAAGAAAAGTAGTTTTGAATATTGTTTTCATCATTATGAAAGTGTTCAAGAATTGCCTTTGGATTTAGTAACTTGTTAGTACATTTTTTGTTCCGCATCCATACAATTTGGTCTGGTGCTCATCTAAGACGTTTTGGTAGTTGGAGTTAAAAAGACCACCCAGTGCCGGAAGTTGAAGAATGAGAGGTTAGCGGTTATCATTGAGTGTTAAATATTTGAGTTAAGATAGTTAAGATACTTTTGAGGAAATCTAGATGGGCTAACAAGCTAGTTTCATCAATGATTAACCTTCTTATAAGGTAACCTCTTCTATCAATTAATCCGAAAAGGTTGAGGTCTTTGTGGCTATTTGGAAAGCGTTTTGAGCTTAACAGTGTTAGAGCGCATCTTTATGGCAAAATATTTCCTAAACTTTTTGCTATTATGCGAAATTCTGTTTCTTAAATACTAGTCAACCGCTGCCTTATGCACAGTCCAAATTATTTTATGTGCTTTTCGAATACACATTGGACTAATTCTGGTAAGCAACATTTGCACCACGACTCGCCTTCTTTAGGCTTTGATGTCAATTCTGCTGCTGTAGATTTTAAGAAATCCACTACTGTTCAAGGCAACTTATCGACAAGCTTTGAAAAGAATTTTTGACGGCGTGGTTTGCGGTGACTTTAACAACTATAGGGCGGCTACTTGTGCGTTGGGGCCAGTACCAAATACAGACTGCTTAATGTTTCCCAGTCCCAGTTGGAAACTTCGAGTACAGCACTTATATCGGTCATTAAGGTGTTTTTGATGACTATTGAAGGTGCTAATAAAACTACCGAATATTACACTTCAATGAGCCTTTTACGCGCGAACATAGCTAATGTTAACGATAGTCCTTCGTGCAGTCGAATGTGCTTATCGCTGGCGTCCACCGCGCGCAGTGGAAGCTTGAATAGATCCCCAGCGTCGCACTGTATTCTTTTCTCTTCATTGAAACATGGCTGATGAGCATTGATAGTTTTGTCTACTGGTTTATTCAATTTTACATTGTTTGATAAAAACTAATTTTAAAAAAAATTAGCTTTTTTTGAATAAAATAGTAACTCTTAAACCAACATTTGTCTGGGCTCGGGTAGATGGTCACTGAAACCTATAACTTCAGCGTCATATATTCTTTAATGACTTTAGAAAATATTTAACGTATTGTTGTAAAACTAGTCTTTTTGACCGATCTTATTGTGCATGTGCACGTTGTCTGTTATTAATACCTCTGATTTTTTGCGGACGACGGAATAATTGTTGACATGTGCAGTCGATCTAATCCTTGGGTCTCCCTCTAATCGCGTATTTCACTTTCTAGAAGACCCGAGTATCTTGGTAAAGCTTATCCACTAATGTGTAATGTCATCGTAGGGGTAGACAAAACAAACATTGAACAGGCATACTATTGGCGTTGGGTGGTCGTTTGTGAAATTGATACCCATTAACATGAGGGCTTTCTGCTTAACGCATGGGTGTATCATTGGGTTTCACACTAATATTACCTTATTTCGTTTTTATTGAGTCATGAAATAATACATAGGTGACTTTACCTGGCATTTTACGCTGTATAAATATTCTGAAAGCTTGTCGTTTTCTTGATTGCAAAGTAATCTGCTTGGGCGTAATGAAATAAGGCAGGCCGGGTACACTTTACGTAGGTGAGGAGGTTTTTCCTGTAAATATCTAATTATAGATTTCAGTGGAACAGGGCAGATTTACGAGTTAATTTATTCCGACTTCGTCCGATAAACGTACCTAAGATTACCAAATGGATTTATTTTCACTTAGATCCAATTTCGTAATTCATCCTGACTTCCAATTTTCTCTTAGAACATTTTTTCTCTAACAACTGCTATAGGAAATTTTATTGAAGATGAAACGAATTTTGTTGTTCTCTAAAACGAATTAGTCATTCATCATACCACGCTTTCTAAAACTGATTCGATGGATTCAGTAATTCTTTAATAAACTCTAATAGTTTAACTCACTCTTTTAGAAAAACATAAGTTATATCTTTTTTTTTCTAACGGCACTAACCTGCTCCCATCTTGAGTTTCAAAAAATCTATTGGCTGAAAGAGACAATAGGATTAGGTTTGTCATAAATAAACGTCATTAACAATCGCTTATTTTTGCAAATAAGGGTGGTGAACTGTTTGTTGAACAGATATAATTCTACTTACAATTCTCCTCAAACAAATTTTTACAGCTTTTTTAAGTCTCTGTCTAAAAACCCCATCCCACTCTGCATGTCCAATAATAAAATCTCGTTAAATATTCTAAGTTTAGAATTAATTTTCATATTTCTTATTGCGATAAATACTAAGCCATACCTGTTTTGCAGCCTTCTTGGCTACTTGGGATGTTGTAGCATTTTAACTAACGACGCGGTCTGGTTTGCCGTAATGTGTTTCAAATTGTTTCAAATTTTGCGACTAGTGAGGCCTGTAAGAAGACAAATCCAGTTCTTATTCGGTCTTTTAGCGTGTCATTTTTATTGCGAATGTTCCGTAGTAACCAAATTCAATGATCTGGAACGACTTAGTTACTATACTACGAGGACTTGGAAGTGCCAACGTGGAAGGTAGCAAGTAAGGTCTGTTTTGAAACTTATGGCATGACGCCTTTTTGTGAATAGACATTTAAAGTGAAGTCATTTTTTTCGGAGCCGGACATTTCTTAACTGTAAAGAAGTAACTTACGTGTCAACATAAAGTAGCTTTTTGTGAACACTTGAATTTAGTCAGAAGGACTTTGTTGATACAGTAAAATAGGGTTTCTTTATTTTAAGGTTTATTTTTGAGTACTTCCTCAAATATTCGAGAATTTTGTGATTAATTTGCACTTTCAATTCTTTTTTTTGGAGCAGTTTTTGTTTTATTTATAATTCAGTAAAGTAATTCATCAAAATTTTGAGATGAACCGATTTTCATTAAAAGCGTTTTGATGATTCAGAGTTCTTTATGGCTCAAATGCTTATTGGCAGGACTGTATTCGAAGAGAATTTTGTTTATAAGATACTTAGAAAATGGTTATCATTCAACCTACTCCAAACGCAAGACAAGAAAATTTTCAAATGTGACCTACTACGCGTCTTAATTTTCACCACGAAGAAGAATTATTTAAATTGAACATAGAGAAAAAATACTTTATTTTAACTTACAGCTGAATATCCGGGAAGAAGTAAGTGTTGTATTTTGCTCAGGATCATTCAAATTTTCTTTTTGCAGAGTTTTTGTAAAGGTCATACATTTTCATTCAGGGCTAACCATTCAAGACCTGTCCATCATAATCTATAGTCTTTTTACCTACATAATCTTAAGCCTTCTGTAGCAAAATGTGCTGAGTTTTTTTTGGTACTATTATAGTTTTAATAAACAAAAGTTTTCTGGCGTTTAGTTTCTTTGATTTAGTTATCACTAGAA